GGTGCTTATGTGGTTATGTGGCTTGCTTGTGTCATATTAATGTACCCAAAATGCTCGATCACATTCTTGTCACAAACCAGGCTCGTCATTGCCTTTTTAAATTTTAGCTTTTTTCCTAGAAATGTGATAGTAAAATTGTTCGTATTTTATAATGTTCTCAAATTAAGTACAGTGTGACCAAAAGAGGAAATACACCATCATAAAAAGGAATCAAACAGGGGGCTCCGAACTCTTCATTTAACTGAGATGACGTAGCACACGGCGGTCGACCCTGTCCAGTTCTCCTATAAAGAGTTAATAATAAGCATATCAGCTATATCTCAATCAGGTCCGGCTGTGCAATACCTGTCTATTGTGAATTCGTTTGAACAGAGCATATGAGTGTTTAAAATGAACAGTAAATTCCTGTGATATTCTTTTGGGGTTTGAAACCTTTAAGTTAACGTGCGTGTTGCTTTTTCACCCACTGTGCGGCATGCTTATGTTGACTTATATGAAAACGTTAAAGACGCGGTAATTCAAAATATAATGGCAACATAATGTTTCAAGAGCTTACGTCAAATAACTTTGTCAGCCTTAATTTATAAATGTACACCAAGCAAAACTGGGCGCTTAGTCGCAAGTTCTTGTTTATTGTTAATTTAGTTATTTCCCACAGTTGTTTTTCGAATAAACTGTTCCGAACAGCCCATTCAATCAATAAACTGTTCCGAACAGCCCATTCAATCAATAAACTGTTCCGAACAGCCCAATCAATAAACTGTTCCGAACAGCCCATTCAATCAATAAACTGTTCCGAACAGCCCATTCAATCAATAAACTGTTCCGAACAGCCCAATCAATAAACTGTTCCGAACAGCCCATTCAATCAATAAACTGTTCCGAACAGCCCATTCAATCAATAAACTGTTCCGAACAGCCCAATCAATAAACTGTTCCGAACAGCCCATTCAATCAATAAACTGTTCCGAACAGCCCATTCAATCAATAAACTGTTCCGAACAGCCCAATCAATAAACTGTTCCGAACAGCCCATTCAATCAATAAACTGTTCCGAACAGCCCATTCAATCAATAAACTGTTCCGAACAGCCCAATCAATAAACTGTTCCGAACAGCCCATTCAATCAATAAACTGTTCCGAACAGCCCATTCAATCAATAAACTGTTCCGAACAGCCCATTCAATCAATAAACTGTTCCGAACAGCCCAATCAATAAACTGTTCCGAACAGCCCATTCAATCAATAAACTGTTCCGAACAGCCCATTCAATCAATAAACTGTTCCGAACAGCCCATTCAATCAATAAACTGTTCCGAACAGCCCAATCAATAAACTGTTCCGAACAGCCCATTCAATCAATAAACTGTTCCGAACAGCCCATTCAATCAATAAACTGTTCCGAACAGCCCATTCAATCAATAAACTGTTCCTTCAATCGTCCATGAAGTAATAAACATAATTTCATTGACGCTCTAACACTAAATTGTTAAAAGCTATAGGACGTGATAAAAAACAAAGAGTTCTGATAATAGATAAACAAACAAATAAATACATATCTCGATATTTATTACTGAATCAATACATTTATTTGAACGAAACTTAAATTGCATATAAAACGAATTGAGCATTTCTCTGCATAAGCACAAACGGGTATTTATGACATAAATAATATATTTTCGCATAAAATATACATTTGAATAAAAATATCATGTCATCATGTAAAATGCGTAGAGTAATTCTGATATACTGGTATTACTCCGTACAACCGTTCAACATTTACTTGACAAAGGTAATTTATCACAAAATAACAAAAAAGAGGCTGAATTTCATGTCTTTTGGAAGTGAGAGTAACAAATTTTGGCAGCTGATATGTTGAAGTGTATAAATCCCCGTTTATTATTTTCAAGCGTCTTTACTAATATTTAGGTAAGAGAAAAATGCATAATAGACTCGATGAAATGGACAAAGGTGTATGCAACAAATAACGAATTCAATGAACCATAAAACAAAACTTCAGACTTAAAGTAAAATGTTTTGACCTGGTTTTGCATGTACATAGTTCCATCTTCTGATAACGTACAGACATGTAGATATGCTGATATATCAACAAGGCAAACAAAGTTGAACTTCGCTTACGTTTTTAAGCCTTTTAGTAATCTTCAGGCGATGATTTAAATATATTTTTGTTTTTATGAAGAATAATGGTGACTTCTAAGAAAGATCTTTCGAAAATCTCTTATTTCATTCCACATTCATACACATTATGATTTTTCGCAGACAAAGAATAATTGTATTAAAGATTGTCAAGAGAAGAAAAAATATATGCAATGATTTAAATTCTTTGTAAGTATGTCCGACATAAGTTTCTACCATTGCTTAGAGATTAACACCAGCCTTCCAACATATTGATTAAAGCTTAGAGGCGGTCAATCAACGTTACACTCGCAGTTGCTTGTAACCGTGAAAAGGCGTTATTATGAAAAGACCGATTAAACACCATGCAGCACCTGTCATCCCTACCTCATAATTTGAATTCAGACGTAAGTAGGATATAAAATTAAAAAGTAAAATGTGATAAAAACATTAGTTTCGTTCATCAGTCATGACATAGCATGCTACACTGTGACGATTAGAATGTAAATAGATTATATTACAACCGTATGCAAATCGATGTATGTGCAGCAAACGATCAATCAAGTTAATGAACACACAAGCACCACTTCACATCCCAACAGTTTTGAACTGTTAGGCAGTATGTTTTACATATATACATGTGTACGAATACATTAACAAAACAGAGACTCACTTTATAGTCATCAGTTAGACTGTATATTCCACGATATATCAAATCTATTACAGTTTATTATGTTTTATATCAGTTTGCTTACTACACCATTCCTGAGGGTTGATAAACAATTATGCCAATCTAATAATAATTTGATCAATTGAATTCTTATGAGGTTGATGTAATGTTTCTCATTCTTCGGGAATTGTATGGAAAGCTATATGTTATAAACCTAATAATATATCAATACAATTAACTCTTGTGAGATTAATGTAGTAATTTACCAATCCTCAGTATGGGATAGTCGCTTGGAGCAAAGGCATGAAATAAATGAATTATGGAAAGGCTAGCCTACAAACTATCAATACAAAGTATTAAACCTCTATACAATTGACACATGGTTGGATCGACACAATTCAACAGTCTTTGGTATTATAAACATTGTTTCCTTCGTCGAACCCTGACAAGCTTTATAAATATTTCAATGGATATGTCCTTTTCATCACATATTTCACAACCTGATTAAAGGTGACACTGTACAAGAAATAAAGGTTGTTTGTCAAACATGGAAAAGAAAAGGCACGGGAGGGAATATTTGGTTAAGACGCAAATTTATCACCTAACACGGGTCATGGAAAAGTTAAAATGCCTTTAACGTATAAACAATACATTTGAATATGTTATGACAATGTAAAAGAAATATTCAACGTTCTATACAACGAATTATTTATCAACTTTTGGACGATGAAAATGACCACACGGAATGGATAAAAGTTAAGGGGAAGTCACAGCTCATCTTGTATATCCCTAAACATGTATATGCATTGTGAAACGAAGTTCACGTGACATTGACTATGCATGACGATCCATTCAAACCTTTTGTTTTAAATAATGATATGTAAAAATATTCAGGTAAAATATAAACTAGATAATGACATCTCTATATAGCCAGCAACAGTCATGATAACGCGCATACCTTGATATATAAAAACAAACTTACGTCATTGAATTGATTAACAAATCAGAATCATTGCCATATAATTACTAACCAATAAAAAGAAGATGCAATGTACGTAAATGCCTATTAAACAGACTTCGTTGTTTAACTATTAAACACAATCTTAAAGATATTTTCAATATGAAACAAATGACGTCTTGCTTGTTTTTAACGAGGAAAAATGTTTTCATTTATGATTTTAAAAACGTTGAAGTTTCACTTCAATAAAATAAAAAGATGGACAACAAATATTTAAAACAAGGACATTCCGTAACGATGATAGTGTGCGAACGTTTTACATGTACATATACAATGTACAACCCATCTAAACCAAGTTCCTTAAAATACCGTTAATGTAAACATGTTAATTGGATTGCTCGTTACTGGGGTTAATAAAGCTATCTATGTACAACACAGACAAATCACTGTGATTAGATACATTTACAGCAAAAAATAGAAAAAGATGAGATTTTCTTACAAAAAATGCTTGAAGTGGAATATATAAAACTAGAAAACAGATATTCAAAGACTCATTTGCTTTAAAGTCTTTAAAGTCTCACATTTTATATAAAAAAATATATTTGAATATCATATTTTTCGAGCATACGTGATTAAACTGATGCGTTTATTTGCTGTTAAGTTTACCATACTTTAAACACTTTTTGGCCCAGATGCTGCTTGAATAAACAAAATAGTACACTTAGTAATTTGAATGTTTCCTATCGCTAAATACATTTACTTTACTTAAAATTTGATCAGGGATATACCAGTGAGTGATGGAAATAGTATTATTACATATCTGCATCTTTTCTTGATAGTGATTATATAATAATGATTGTAACGTTCAAAATGCAAATTCGATATATGATGTTCATGTCAAGTCAAAAGGCTCGTCAAAGCATTCCATTTGAAAAGCCACTAGCAATTATCTGCTTTCTTGTAAGATGAAGTGACATGAATTTTAAAACAGAATTCCGTTTTAGATACACCAGATTTTCCTTCGTATGTGATTATTTCACTGCTATTTTCACGAGAGCATATTGATTAATATAATCTGTCATATTTGTGAAACACCTGTTACATTTTCAATATGAAACCGTATCAATATAATGTCAATAAAATGTCAATAAAATGTCAATGAATTGTTATTGGAAATAAATAAAATGTCAATAAAACTTAATGGAATATTAATGAAATTTCCATGTATCGTTATATTGAATAAATAAAATGTCTATAAAAATCAATGGAACATGAACAAAATGTCATTGAAATATTAATGAAAAAGTATTGAACAGTTCATGAAATGTCTATCATACTGGTATTCCTCCTAATAACTGTTTGACAGGTATGACATGAAACTTTTAAACATTAAAACAGAAATAATAAAATACTTTTAAAGATAACATCTACATGGTTAATCATCACATTTAAACACTGGGATATAAATAAAAGGACAATATATAGCATAAGCTGCACGGAATCCGATGAATATCACTTTGCAGATCTACCACATTTGGTTTCTATACATATATATGACAGACAGTTGGACGGATATTTACCGGGTGTTCGTGTCATTACAATTACGTATTTGAAGACTGTACAAAGAACAGACATAATGAATACCGCGAAATTTCGCCGTAGTTTAATTTCCGCTTTTACCTTCCTCCTTAACGAGGGCGAATTTATCATTTCAGCAACAATAAATAAACAGCATACTACACATTTAAATTTAATGTGAAGGGCGAAACTAAAGCTAGGATAATATGGATTTTTACCGGCTAAGGGCTAATTCATGTCGACATCGGTCTAACTTTCAGTCCATACACAACTATGAATCTTTCCAGAAAATTATTACCTTGATACAGCTTTTTTGAGTGCTGCATCTCACCTAAGTATTGGCAAGTTTCGTTATTCAATCACTGTTTAATAGAATGGTTTGTAAGCTTTATTTGATTCCATCCATACACACGATGAATAATAATTTGTTTCCGGTGTTTGAAAGATACCGTATAATATAATCAAATATGATCGTGATTGTATAGAATTTGCAAAAGAAAATACCTCAAAATATACTGTGAATATATATATATATGTTTCCCGTAATACACATAGTTTACGGTAGCTTATTCATACGGGTCAGGAGACAAAAGGTATAAAACACAGTGACTCACTGATAAATTTTACTGTCGCCCAAACTTCACCACATAGATTTTTTCACATTATTTGTACATTTTGCCAATTTCATTTTAACTTAACGACGTCTTATTAATAACAAAGTCAGTATTATGTTTCTATAAATGGCTGGTCATCATGGTGAACAATTTGCCTCGTCGCTGTTATCTAGACAGTCCTTGATGGTGTCACATCTTTCTGCTATAGGGATACACTGGCCATTCCCGCACGTGAATTTGTCAGGGCCGCAACCTCCTGCACATGTAAAATTTAAAATTAATATTGGTGTTTTGCTGGTTCACTAATTTTAATAACCGACAAATAACCGACACTGTTTCGGAACCTGTCTTTTAAATTTAAAACTCATGATCTAGTGTAATCACGTTTCATTTCCCTATTGAGGTATTAAGCTAAAATATAACATAAAACAATCTAGAATGCAGAAAGGCTTAAAGGTAGATCTTGGATATCATTATTTGTTCTATACATAAATATATATTTATGTGCATACTTGTGTTAAGGGTTTAAATCCCATGGCATGCATGGCGTATTTCTGGAAAGGCTAGTGATAATGGATAACTTATATCAATACACATCATACTACACATAAAACGTCTACTTTCATGCATACGGGCTTGGCTTAAATTTCAGTAAACATTGTGAGTCCACGTGACTGTTAATATTGATTTTATCATGACGTCCTACTCTAATTTGGCCCTTCAGTGTATTGAACTTATTGATGGCGTTTTACTATTTTCATAAAATCGTTCATTATCATATGATAATTTAATCTTGCATGTAACAAGCATTTCCATTGGCTTAAACATTTATGTTATCATCCCATAACGTAAAAACATGCCGTCGCCATTTGTAACGTCGCTTTTGATTTTTGATTGGTTGATACAGGGGCGCAATAATTAAGAGAAAGGAGTCCATCAATAAAAGTGGATTTCCACAGGGATTGTGTATAGTAGATTAAATTATAAGGATTAACTTGAATATATTTTTCATGTTATGGAGCTATAACACAAAAAACCGGAGTGTACTATCATCATAAACCGCTTCGCGGGTTATTTAGAGTACACTCCGTTTTTTTGTGTTATAGCTCCATAACATGAAAAATAGATTTAAGTTAATCCTCAAATAAAGCAGATATTTTGTAAATTGTACCCTGTCTGTGTTTTGTTTGTCTGAAAATGTCGCGCAGCATCTTTGACACGTAGTGTGTATACTAAATACTCATCTTTTCTTTGAAGAATCAACATTAGATGTTAAAATAGACGCAGCACGTCACTGGGCTAGTGGACAGGAACTTTGCCAAGGTGCACAACAAGCGATGACGTCACAGTTTCTGATACAAATATACAAATTTAAACTTACCTGTTGTTGATGTCGTTGTAACAGTCGGACCAGCTGTCGTTGTTGAAAGGTTTGTATCTATAAACAAACATTAGATATGTAAATATATTCTAATGACAATGAAAAAGTAAACACCTACCAAGAAAAAAAATCAAAATTGACACACGAACAACATTAAAATTTACGCACAAAGATAAACTCAGATTAACATTGACGGTTATTACTTATTTGGTCTTAAAAACACAATTTTGGAAAATGTCGTCATCTACAAACTGTATATATATAAATCAAATATATGAAGCAATATATGTTTTATGTATGCTGGCGGTGTTTTCATATGCTAAGTGACAGGATAACGTTATGTTCATATATATCAAATAGTGTTTACCTGTACATGTTTTATTCTGTAATATCAAATTGTCAATGGCGATATCAGCGTCATATTTATCAAGGGCAGTCGTCCTGGAAGCACGAAATATGACCTTGACCTCGTGACCCGCATCAAGGTCAACACATGCATTAGTCCATACGTTCCCTGTTGAGGTGTTATTGAACCAAACTCTTGTCTCCTCTCCAGTTGATACTCTAGAGGACAGGACTTCCAGACCTCCAATGTCCACCCAGAATTCATTGTCAAACATGTGATAGAAGAATGACAAACTTTGTCCAGCTGTTGGGGTGAATGGAATCGAGACTAAACTACAGGTATCTCCGTGGCTCCCGTCACTTCCCTCAGCGTACATGTAGCTTCCTGTAACACGACATACCTTTATGACATACTAATAAGATTAAATTGACAAGAAATTATTTCAGTATTATTATATAGAGTACACGAGCTTGTTTGTGCACTATAAATCAAACCAAATATTTTGCATTGTTTATTTCACTTTAATGTTGTATTGTTTTACCTCATATACATAGCGTGTCTGATTGGATTGCATTAACAATATGACATGGCCAGTGTTATCTTACATGACCGGATATGAGAGAAATAGATTTTCCTTCTTTCTTCTAAACTTAAGCATCACTGATGAGTCCTAACAGGACGAAACGGTCAAATGATGCAGAAAATACATATTTGTTCAAATCACTGCATCGACAAGATATGTCCCTTGCTTAGTATTTCTTATTATTTATTTGGCCGTTTTCACTTGAAACCCAAATCGTTCGGATGACTTAGGTTCAAATATGTCGTCCATAAATTTCAAAGAAAGGTGCTTTGTGCATTATGTTTCAATAAAATATTGTTCTATTTGTAACGCTTTAATCATTGAAAGTGACGGGAAATAAATACAACGTAATTTGTTACATGAAGATATTATCTCACTCTCTACGTAGACTGATTTCCGATTGTGTAGAATTACAAAACATCATACAAGAAGGCGGGGCACTATGATCTCACTCGAGTCCTAATATGTACACACTGTCAGATAACAGGATTTCCTAATTAAGAGTACAGACAACAATTTGCTACATCCGGGATATACGATATCGATGCCGACTGATTCAGCTTCCGGTGGTTTCTAATTGGTAATCTGGTCGTTAGGCCCACTCCTTACTTAAATTCTCAATTTTATCTTATTTTGAGATAAGTCGTTAAGTTGTTACTTGAAAAACAAGGATAGGTATTACAAATGTCCACCCTAGTATGCACCAGGTCTACACCACTGTGACGACAATAATAGCCAGTTGACAACACCTTTTAACGAGGTCCACCCTATTATGCACCAGGTCTACACCACTGTGACGACAATAATAGCCAGTTGACAACACCTTTTAACGTTGCACTAACTGGATGTTACACGTAATGCTCTTACTATTTATTAAATCATCTAGGTAACTTGACATTTAGAGTTAACGGGAATAATGACGTGCACGTGTGAACCGTGGGCCCGACGGTATTTCTACAGCAATCATCGTAGAACATTTCGAAACATCATTGTAGAGAAGGTGATACACGCGTTTGCGACCTGATACGTATTGTACCAGTTACCGCTATGCATTAGCACAGATGTACGTAACACACATAGGTTAATGCATCTATACTAGTATGTCATAGGTACAGTTAGCCAAAAATAAACTGCATCCTACAGCTGTTTCGTCTTTCTAGGACTATTAGGCGATGCTCGAGGCAAAACTGGTGGAATCCCAATTGAATTAAACAACTGTTGAAAAAGAAACGGGGTGCATAAACTCTTTAATTATTTGAATTTCGGAAAAAATATCAGTACGTAATAGGTTCAAATTGAAAATAAAAAGAGTGTAGTATGTAATGAGTCGTGCTCCTATTCAAAAACTATTACTGTGATTATCAAGGTTAAAGCATATCCCTCAGACTACGAAATCCACCAGCAGAGTCTGTTACCTTGTATTAAATAACAGAAGAAAGTTGTAACCTAAAAGTCCTAAGCCATATCAGAAGCTATAGATTATGGGATTCGGATTCCGGACATTACGGGGTTTTTTTCACAACTTAGACTATCTACTATATTTATGTACAAATACTATTCAAGTATGTTAAAAATCGTACCATGCAACAAAAGTTATATATGGCTATATATGTCTCAGCTAATCAGAAGTGATGGACAATTTCCTAAGCGGTGGCCGTCTCAAATTGCGGTAGCCAAGTAATATGCCTTATTAAGGTAGGATAAAAATAAAATAACGTTTACCACCGGTACGAAAAAGGGCAATAAAATTAATAGGTTAGTGACATATCAGTCCTGTTTTATTTCCAGTACAAGTAGTCTACAGCTGTTCACTAGAAACTTGTTCAGCACCTATTGCCCATCAACATAATTATAATATTGTGTCACCAACTGAAATTTCAGACTTCTGGATTTAGAGAAAATCAGTTGTGGGCGAACGGACAGATAAACGCCGTTTGTTATATTATTTCTTGTATATGTTACTACAGGTAAAACTCCAGTCGTCCTGTAAGGTTATACCGAGGATAAACTACCCAGCTACATTGTTTGCTTAAACAAGTTGACCATACCTTGTGACGTCCCTGGATCATGGTCGATCGACGGTCCGGTATAAGAGGAGGGCGTCCTCCCAGAATTTCGTATCCAACGATAACCTTTGACCTCATCAGTATGGTAGCCACACATAAACGGGCTCTCGAAACTGCACGATACTGTCCGCTGGGGATCTGTAACATGATGTCGTGAACATGTATATAAAATACAATACAATTATATCATTTCGTATTATTTTTACAAATTGACGCAAACATGGAAGTTGAAATGTGTATTTAAGTACATCATTCACGACGAGGTTAACGTGAGTTTTATATTGTGCAACTGTCTGCTATTGTTACGTCACACAAGTTACAACCTATGACGTCAAATTTAACTTTGATTTTCATCATGGCAGACAGATTCAGATAAACAGCAATTAAGTCTTCAACTTCAAAGTCGTATGGACCCTGATCTATATATATCCACCTTGGGCTTAAATGATTGGATTCGACATAACAACGTGTTTGAGATATCCAAGTTTGTAACCACTCTGTATGCAATGCCTACCACAAACTGCACCCTCGTCATCGCCGTCTAGACAATCTAGACTGGTGTCACACTGTTTCGAGGCCGGTAAACACCGGCCGTTCTTACACTTGTATTCCTCGTTTGTACACTCTAAAATGAAAAGGGATACAAAATACAAAGTGAATTTTTAATTCGGCTTCTTTGCAACAAATACATTAATAATGCAGCGACGATTTTTTTTTTAATTTTCATATTTATGTATCTATGCGTTACTTACAAATCAGACAATTAGAGAATAAAGTTCCAGAAATAAGTTCAAGTCCTAAATCTAGTTGTTCTTTTATGATCAGTAAGTAAATGTAGATTTTTTGATGATATGAACATTATTTTAGACTTTGATACCGGTGCATTGGTGTCTCATACAAGTCCATAATTGATACATATTACACTAATCAATCTAGTCCTAAACCATTCAGTTACTAAAGCTTTAAATCAGAGACGACACGCCAGCTTTCCCTAGCTTACCAAACAATGACTCATCTGTCTCATCAATACAATCGGCGGCTTACCACACAATGACTCATCTGTCTCATCAATACAATCGGCAATTCTATCACCCCTCCACTTTCCCTATCCCCAAGCTTACCACACAATGACTGATCTATCTCATCAATACAATCGGCGGCTCTATCACCCCTCCAATTTCCCTATCCCCAAGCTTACCACACGATGACTCGTCTGTCTCATCAATACAATCGGCGACTTACCACACAATGACTCATCTGTCTCATCAATACAATCGGCGGCTTTATCATCCCTCCACTTTCCCTATCCCTTAGCTTACCACACAATGACTCATCTGTCTCATAAATTCAATCGGCGATTCTATCATCCCTCCACTTTCCCTATCTCCAAGCTTACCACACAATGACTCATCTGTCTCATCAATACAATCGGCGGTTCTATCACAGGTCGCTGAAGTGGGGTAACAGAAATCCTGAGAGCCACACTTCGACCAAGTAGCTGCACAATCTGGAAATAGAAAAAGGGCTTTTAGCTTAGGAGGTTGACTGAAAATGTTTTATAACGACAAACCGTTTAAAAGGTTTCTCCTCAGACTAAACTAGCTGGGCCATGTAACTTTTAAATAAATCAGGTACATGTTGATATAAAATTAATTTCATGCTTAAAATCTGATATTCGATTGGGGTCTATTATCATTACTCATCATGGTGAGATTGAAAGTGAAACTGACCTTACCATCGTTCAGGGAGGGCTTCTATTGCGCAGATATTCATCCGCGTTTGCTTACCAATACTGTCTGCATTTTCAGTAGGTATACATACCAATAATGCAAAAACATTCCTATCTCGATATTAGCCAACCTGCTGAAGCCACTTTCCTGATCAGGGGTGAATATAACGTAATTAAAAGAGGTAAACAATTTCCGATTAAAACATGTAAAAAAACAACAAGAGAGAATATCTGTACCGTATGTAGGACATATCCCTCGTGATATGGAAAAGTCATCCAGAGCTAAGTAAGGTGTTGGGAAGGTCATGACGCGGTCCACGGCCTGGGTGATGCTGTACCGTAAGGTCACAGCTGACTCCCGTGGGAGCTGGATCTGTGCCTTGGCCCAACCAAACGAGCGTCCTGTTGTGAAGTTCCACAAGTTAATGTCTGATCTATCGGTGTATTCAGCGTCAACCTGAAATAAAGATTTAACGATAATAAACACGGAAAGAGACGCATTATAACAAGTACCGTATTTGACATAACACATTCTAAAATGTGTTTTTAAATACACGATTATAGTTATGTTTTCTTTAAAAATCACTTGACAATACATATCCTATTATGAAGGAGACGTAAGAATAACTTAATAACTATTTACAGGAAATATAACAATGTCATTGCAGGAAGCATGCTAATTATCGATGATATCGCAGTGTGTCTTGATATTGAAGTTCTCTACAGTAACAATGACACCAAAATGGCGCATTTTGGGCATTAACCTATGATGTAAATATTATTTTGCTAAACTTATTGTAGTATATATATTACCTGAATTATGTACATTGAATAGCATAGATATTTTCAGTAACGAAAAATAACTAAAAAAAAAATCGTTTGGCTACTGGCAAACGCATGTTTATGACATATAATAAATTATAAGTTGATTTGTCACCTTATTTTTAATCTAATGTACATATAAACGGTTAACAAACTTATATTAGCAAAACATGTACAAATAATAGCATTATTCATGAGTTTATATCAAATGTGGTCTCTCTCAAAAGTTATAAACTGTCATGTTAAGATGAACATAAAACACATTTGTAATTGTAAATTATGGTAATAGACACAGTATGCCAAAATTATATTATACTGGCTACAAATCAGCTTTGTCCTGCTACGACTCATCGGGGTGCTAGGGACAAAAGGTGGCAATTCAAATTGGATTGAAACAGACAGGGAGGTGCGGAAAATCCATTCATTAATGAAAATCAACGTTTAGAGGTGTACTGGTTAAGCAAACACCTTTAAATTAGTAAGGTAACGGTTTTTCTGAAAACATGTGTTTACCGTGAATTCCGCCTCTGTGTTTCCTCTAAAGTAAAACACAAGACAATGATCAAGCATTTCAAGGTCAAGCTTCTGTCTCATAACAGTTGAATCGTCTTTCAAGAATAGCGTCTGAAACGCAAACAGCAGGAAGCCTGAAATATAAAATGTGTATGTGTATATCTGCACGGAATCAGATAGTCGCCCTGTCGAGCTACAGTCTGTGGTAGTACTTATCATATCTTAAGCTAAAAAATGTAACACTGTAGTGTCGAGAATGTTGTATTTAATATTATTGTGTTCGAAAATAGCATCGATGAACAAAACAATAGGTGTGATTATTCGATTCATAATAGACCTGATCTATTTAAAGCTCTATCTGAAATAAAATGTTGTGTATTACTTTGTAGTTTTTGTAATACGGTTTTGAATTTAAACGTAGATGTATGTTAACTAAAGGTTCTAAGGATGAGCCTTCAGAAAAACATACACAACACACGACAATGAATATCCACATGATAAGTTTATTAACATTTTAGAGCTGGTTTTGTTCGTTTGTTTGTTTGTTGTTGTTTTTTTAATCTTGTTTTCAAAAATGTGTGTCGGAAATGCATTGCTATTAAATGTATGCAGGTCAAACCCGTCAATTTTGAGTAGTTTTGTACCAACAAAGGACTTTCTCTATCGACCTGTATGTTATACAGATCGTTCAATTATAAGATGACCAGCTATATACAAGATTGGAATTCAGCAGATTAATATTAGTACAGAACTCCAGCCATTCGAGCAGTAAGGCAGATCGTACTGTGTTGTTCATACCATCTCGCTGACCGGAAGTGTGGTCACTGAAAGCTTGATGCAGTAGGACACTGTCTAGGTAGGTTCTGTTGACCAGCACAAGTTCTCCGGAGTCACTACTGTCCTGCTGAAATCCACATCGGGAGCTGTCGTCAAAGTTACAGGTAAAAGAGGGCGTTGATGGCTCGGCTGTAAAAGATAACTTCAGAACTATATCGATGTGTAGGCCTATATCTAGCACCAGTCGTTTTTAAGTTCGCAGATATACAAAACAAAATTTATATGTTACACCCAATCACGTCATTAAAATGAGCCTATGTTAAAAAGTTAAACTTTCTTATGTTTAATTAGTGAATAAAAACTTTCACTTACTGTTGCAGTCCGAATAAATGGAAAAGATTTGCAGAGTTATCTGCCCGCTTAATATCAAAAACATATTTTTCCAACAACTGGATGATACAAGACAAACAGACCTTTGCATCATGCCGCCTGACCTTAAACCCTACACAATACCATTTGGATTTTCTGTTCTTTTTACCTCCTTACATTTTGTTATTGGTAATTCATGTGTAGGTCAGAATAACCTGGATAAATCCATGTTTATTTCTCAATGGGTCATCCTTGGTTGCACAATTAAATGTGACAATTCATACAAGTCTTATAAAAACAAGTATGTCGTTAAGAAGAAACAAGACAGGACATGTCATAATCTTAAGGTAGCTAAGGTTTCACCGGTAGGGGACTAATACAAATAGCCTGTGGCTGTCTCAAGACTTGTTAGTGATATGTTCCATTTTGACCGATCTCACCTGCACATGGTGTCACTCCCTCGTCCTCTCCCCCTGGGCAGTCTACAACAAGGTTACATTTCGACTCCATTGGAATGCATTGGATTTTCGTAGAATCGGAATCGCACCAGAACTCATCCGCACTGCACACTGTAAAGGCAACCAATGACATTTTTATTGCATATAATGTACTAGTATTTCTTAAAGATTTTATTATTTCCGTTTTTGTTTTTCAACTTTAAGTATTTTAGCAATTATTTCCCTTCTTTCTTTTCAGATCTATCGGATTACAAGGTTGATAATATAAATACCTATGAGTTGTGGGGAAACAATTCAATATAGGAAAACATCTCTTCACTATTCTTTACGCTATTGTTATTGTATATATTTAAAGCCAATTGTCTATCTCGCCTTGTTAATAGACCCAGATATCTAGCTATGAACATAACTCATTCCGTGGGAAAGTCCATTCGACACAGTTAGTAACGAGTCGGATCACAAGTCTTTTTACCTGTTGCGTTACATTTCCCAAGAATGACCATGACGTCGTCAATGGCGACTCGTATTTTGTCTGGGGTGATGAAAGCAAGATAATAACGTCCAGGTGGAAGGTCAAGATGACCAGTTGACCACTGCTCTGAAAACACCCCTGAGCCGGATGACCACAACACCCGTGATTTAGAGTCTGTCACACTGCTCTCGTTATAGACACGAACGACCAGGCCGGACATCACCTGGCCGCGGATGTTATAGTGGAAACGGACACACGAGTCCATGTTTATGGTCAGCAAAGGGGAGGTCACTCTGCCTTCCACGACGGCTACTCCCGCACCCACTAAGTACCTACCTGTAATTAAGGATGATTGTGTATTAAATATAACGACGTTCCTATTTTCATCGTTATCTGATTTCATGGTTGCTATTGTCATTATATGACATATTTCTATTGATCTACATATAAAATATTTAATGCAGACATATTTTTTAAATGGATTTGTCTGAGTTTTTGTTTATCCTTAGTTTGAAAAATCTTCAAACTTTTGAATTATATAATTAGTTTTGATTTGAATTTCTATATTATAGGTAAAACGAGTGTTTACCAGGCCAGCGCCCTCTAGTGTGATCGGCTGATGGGAGATTACTGGGATATTGTGATCGGTTGTTGCCATGTTCCCAAGAAAACCCGTCTACTTCGTAGCCACACAAAAAAGGATCGTCAAACGTGCAATTGACGCTGATCGCTGGAAGCGAAAAGAAACATTCATTGTTACACATAAAACGCTAACTTGCATACATGTGACTTTAGACAAGAACAAACAAATCAGCCCTAACCAAAATGAAACCAATGGTTGAATTTGCCTTTGGTTGAAACTGTATTTTTTCCATGAGGGAATTTATATTTGATACGTCAGGCTTGGAATCAGGAATGTACGATTCAAATATCAACAAAAATGAGATGGCATTCACAAACAGGATCAAGTTGATGCAAAAATAATAATCCAGAACCACGCAGTATTGATTGTCGAAGGTGTAGCTGATGTTTCTGACAGGAAACCGAAGCAACACTTCGTATCCGGAAACTGAAGTTTTACACGGGTCATATTTATTGGTAACATATTTAACTTGAATGTGACTTACGACAGTTAGCCGCTTCATCGCTACCATCACCACAGTCATCTTCTCTGTTACACAGCTTGTCTGTCTGGTACAAAAGCTGGCCGTTATCACAGGTAAACACTGCAGCTGTAAAAAGAGTAACGCAGCGTGTACATTCTGTCTATAGCTCTATCCGTTCAGCTCACATCTGAACATCTGTAGGTACAGAGCTGGTGTGGATATCATTTATTTTCGTAACAACTAAGATCATAGAGTGACGAGTACAGATAACTGGTTTAATAGATATTTGATTGAAATTTCATATCTGGACACATGGAAGATAATATCTAGCCATGTTATATTAATAACACAATAAGCTAACCAACGATGTATTGGAGACATCACCGAAAGCAAAGAGGTATGCATATTTATTAAAGAACTGATTGATAACCTTTTTTTCATTTTATAAATCGAATATTTGAGAATCTTATATATAATCATATAATTTAATATATATATCCACTCTTCGGCTTGATCCATTGTCGATTTATTTTTATAAATATATGGAATAATAACAGCCAGTCATTAACCGACATTAATGTTCTGGAATATTTACTGGTGGTTGTGTTTATCCAGTTGACGTATCGCCGGACATCGGTGAAGACATTCGGTCTGGCAGTCCAGTTGCAGTAACTGGACACGTAACTCGACACTCCGACCAGTTTCCAAGTCCCCATTGTATCCTTACATACCAGGGGACCACCGCTATCTCCCTAAAACAAATCAGCATGATTTTAAACACTTGGACTTGAAATGACTGTCCCGTATGTATCCTTACATACCAGGGGACCACCGTTTTCTCCCTAAAACAAACCACCATGATTCTAAACACTGGCACCTGAACTGACTGTCCCCATTGTATCCGTCCATACCAGGGGCCCACCGCTATCTCCCTAAAACAAATCAACATGATTCTAAACACTGGGACTTGAACTTACTGGCCACAGTGTATCCGTACATACCAGGGGACCGCCGCTATCTCCCTAAAACAAATCAGCATGATTTTAAACACCTGGACTTGAAATGACTGTCCCGTATGTATCCTTACATACCAGGGGACCACCGTTTTCTCCCTAAAACAAATCACCATGATTCTAAACCCCGGGACCTGAACTGACTGTCCCCATTGTATGCTTTCATACCAGGGGACCACCGCTATCTCCCTAACACAAATCACCATGATTCTAAACACTGGGCCTTGAACTGACTGTCCCCAGTGTATCCTTACATACCAGGGGACCACCGCTATCTCCATAAAACAAATCTCCATGATCACCAAACGCTTGCACCACTGCATGGCCAAAAAATGAGCAATTTTGTTAAACATGTCTACAATGAATGCTATCATTTAATCACCATGATTCTAAACACTGGGACCTGGACTGACTGTCCCCATTGTATCCTTACATACCAGGTGACCACCGCTATCTCCCTAAAACAAATCACCATGATCCTAAACACTGGGACCTGAACTGACTGTCACCATTGTATCCTTACATACCAGAGGACCACCGCTATCTCCCTAAAACAAATCTCCATGATTCTAAACACTGGGACCTGAACTGTCTGTCCCCATTGTATCCTTACATACCAGGGGACCACCGTTTTCTCCCTAAAACAAACCACCATGATTCTAAACACTGGCACCTGAACTGACTGTCCCCATTGTATCCTTACCTACCAGGGGACCACCGCTATCTGCCTAAAACAAATCAGCATGATTCTAAACACTGGGACTTGAACTGACTGTCCCCATTGTATCCGTCCATACCAGGGGCCCACCGCTATCTCCCTAAAACAAATCAACATGATTCTAAACACTGGGACTTGAACTTACTGGCCACAGTGTATCCGTACATACCAGGGGACCGCCGCTATCTCCCTAAAACAAATCAGCATGCTTCTAAACACTGGGACCTGAACTGACTGTCCCCAGTGAATCCTTACATACCAGGCGACCACCGCTATCTCCCTAAAACAAATAACCATGATTCTAAACACTGGGACCTGAACTGTCTGTCCCCATTGTATCCTTACATACCAGGTGACCACCGCTATCTCCCTAAAACAAATCAGCATGATTCTAAACACTGGGAATTGAACTGACTGTCCCCCTTGTATCCGTACATACCAGGAGACCACCGCTATCTCCCTAAAATAAATCGCCATGATTCTGAACACTGGGACCTGAACTGACTATCCCCAGTGTATCCGTACATACAAGGGGACCACCGCTATCTCCATAAAACAAATCTCCATGATCACCAAACGCTTGCACCACTGCATGGCCAAAAAATGAGCAATTTTGTTAAACATGTCTACAATGAATGCTATCATTTAATCACCATGATTCTAAACACTGGGACATGAACTGACTGTCCCCATTGTATCCTTACCTACCAGGGGACCACCGCTATCTGCCTAAAACAAATCACCATGATTCTAAACCCCGGGACCTGAACTGACTGTCCCCATTGTATCCTTACATACCAGGTGACCACCGCTATCTCCCTAAAACAAATCAGCATGCTTCTAAACACTGGGACCTGAACTGACTATCCCCAGTGTATCCGTACATACCAGGGGTCCACCGCTATCTCCATAAAACAAATCACCATGATCACCAAACGCTTGCACCCTAAAACAAATCACCATGATTCTAATCACCGGGGCTTGAACTGACTGTCCCCAGTGTATCCGTACATACCAGGGGACCACCGCTATCTCCATAAAACAAATCACCATGATCACCAAACGCTTGCACCACTGCATGGCCAAAAAATGAGCAATTTTGTTAAACATGTCTACAATGAATGCTATCATTTTTTCAACGTGACATGCAGATATTTTTTATCCTTACTGTGATGTTTCGAAGTCGAGATTGATGCATGTTTAATACACGTGTCCTTTTCAAGGCTTCAAACAGTAACATTTATTTGCATGACTTGAATAAGGTAGCATAGGATATGTCTGTCTGATAGAGGGCGCCACTTAAGCAGTCTTGACTTTACCTTACACACCGACTTGATCCCACTGTAATACCCAGCACACATGTACGTATCCGCGATCGTTCCGTTCCACCCGTGTGTTCCATTACACTTAGCAAGTGTCCACAGCTTCATCTTCAGTTCATTCAGCGTGGCGGAATACTCTCCTGAACAGAAAAGTTGTACACTTGGTGCAAGTTTGATATATCATTAACAAAATCAGACGGTCTTAGATTTGATACGTAAATGGCTACACGGTAGATGTGTAGTATTAGCAACTCTTAATCAACACAGAAAGGTGTATACAAATATACCCTACTTTGTATATAATTTATACCCAAGACCTTGGGAGGGCACCCTGGACAATATATACAACGGGTTTTTTTCTGTGTCGTTAATAGAAGTAGGAAGGAAGGAAAGAACTACGAGTAAGTCCGTTTAGAAAGCAAAATACATTTTTACTGCACAAGGTGTTATTTTCCCGAGGAAACACTTCAAATTTTTGCATAATAATAATTATCTGATCCATTCTTTCGGTTTTTGGTGTTTTTTATGTTAAACGTCCTACTAACAGGTAATGACAGTTTAGGACGTGTCTGTGGTCCATGTTATACAGGTTGCACAACAGTGACATAGCTCTCAAGAATTGTTTGAACAAAACATCCATATTGTTTTAAGGCGTACGATATACCAAGTGTGTATCTATGTCCATTTTTAATCATCAACAAGTGTGCACATTAAATATCCTAATGACAGGAAGGAATATCATTATATAAACATATATATAAAACAGGATTTTACCTTCGGGTTCCGTCCTTCCCCATCCAGTAGTATAGCAAATCGCTGTCTCTGGGAACACCTCGTCTACTTCCGGTAGACACACAGGCTGTATATAAGGTGTATACTTTACACTGTTGGCCAGCTGGAACAAAGTTAGATCCCCTGGCCCAAAACGAAAGTACGAGTTATTGGCCTTGATTACCCTCTTCACCTTGTAGGCTTCTTTGGTAACACCACCTGTGACTCTGTTCGTGACCCCGAAAACCACGCTCATGGATGATGGGTCAAGGAAATCGCTGCATAAATAATAACATGTGTGCTTTTATTAAAAAGAATTTCCAAAATGCTCGTAAATGCATGCATGTAAATTTACTTGAACGACTTCATGAAAAGGCAATTAAATAGACTTAATTTAACATAGGCACATTGATAATGTTAAACTTTTTTTCTGGTTTTTAGCAAAACATATTATCATTTTGTAAACGCGTTACTGCCAAACTTGTTTCAAAATACACTTTTCATAGCAGCGAAATGGATGAAAAGTTGTGTTTACAAGTGCGTGAAACAATTAATATCAGAATAACTTTAAAGACACATAATTTTGACAACAACGCCGTGATAAATCGCTGTACTTTAGTTTAACAAGGCATTACGACACAATAATAAGTATTAAGTATGACTAATGAGCTGTATTATGTTTTCGGTCAACTTTGTACCATTATTTTTAAGCAAAATCATTTGATGTTAAAGATTCAACTTTATTTTACATTGCTCAACTGTTAAACTACCTAAAAGACAATAAGTTCCTAAAACAGAAAAGCATCCAGAAGACACGGATTTATCAGCACAAAGTAGTAGCCAGTTGATTCAAGGTGTTGTTGTTTGTAATGAGATCAGATATCGCTGTATATTAGCTCTACCTACATTACACAGTGTGTCGCCGTGACTACGAAGTCTGGAGCGATAAGGGAGGCACCACAAATATGGTTGCCGAAATCACCGATCTGTAGCGACCCTTGCCATGGCCACGCCCCTGGTAACGCAGCGTCACCATTGACGATGTACTGGACAATACCCTCAGTCACATGACGCCGACCGCAGTCTGGAGAAAAGAAACCATACCTTGTTATATTCAATAAAAAATGAAATGTATGATCCTGTCCTATCGAAGTATTTAAGAAACGTTTAAGAACCACTATTTCATGCAGTAGTCTTTATTGTGAGCATGCATCGTTCAATTAGGACTTTAATGCAACAATGAATCAGTCAGTTTCATGAAAACAGAGATAACGAATTTTAAATAATTTCGAACTTTAGTGAAAAGATATTTCTATTTCTTAAACGATACTTGTACACAAACACGTTGATTATGTAATAATTTAAGTTATGAGAATATAAAACTGTCACCTGCTTACCTCTAGGAACACACGTGACCACAACCACCTTGTTGTCTTTACAGGAAGATCTGTAAAATAGTACAAAAACCAGTGTTACAGGATTATATAGAAGGCACAACTGCGCCACATCTGATACAGAAAACGCCAACCCTTCCACATCACCGATGCTGGTTTTGGTGTATTAGGTATATTTCTTTCTACTATGCGTTTTAGTTTCCTCCAGTTTTTGTATATGCGTGTCGACCACGAGCCCTTATTTTGTTAAAGTTAGCTGTTGATCAATACCTTTTTTTCAGTGCAGATGAAGCCATTGATCACAAAGCGAATGATGGTCTTGTAATAATGTCAGAGACAAAAATGCTCCGAAACACTTGAACAACAAGTCATAATAGTGAACGTTACTGACTCGACTAATTTCCCTTCCGTATAATCGGTAAAACACTAGGCACATAATTTTAGTTATAGGTTCGACTCCTAATGGATGCCAACAGAAAAAGAACCTCGGTTATATTGTATTGTATATCAATATAAATCACAATGTAGCCTTTGATTTCGTGAACCGAGCGGTTATAATGTTTGTTTGTGAACAAGCAGTAGTAAATACCTACCCGATATTGACGCGGCCTAGGTAACTGTTGTGAGAGCCGTTAATGCTGATGCTGGCGTACAGGGCACTAGCGTAGGTTACACTGCTACTGTTGACGGTCTGTCTACAATGCACGATTAGTAAAGAATCTACACGGCACTCCGTCAACACTTGCTACTTGTTACTGAGGGCATAACATTGACAAGGAACAGACTGACTATAATAATTAGGACCGTACATGATATTTTTTAGGCGAAAGACATAATAAGTGGTCTTTAGAAGAGCAGATAACTAATATATGATATAAATATACTACATGAATACGACTTAATAATCGGTTTATGGTTTTACAATTTCAATTGTGTGGCAAGAGCAATGATATACGTACTTATCTCCGAGTTTTTCACACGCCATGTACCCGGATGTATCTGTCCAGGAGTCCGCACACACCGGGACGTACGTTTGGCCGTTAGCGACTTTGATCATACCTGCTGAATCTCTTATCACTGTCAGGTAAGCATTAAATATCAAATTACTGACCTATGACCTTTTGATGAGGAAGCAACTCTGTATCGGAATCGCATTTATTCAATACTAATATATTTGTAGACAATTAAGACAATGACACATGCTAAAGTTTAGTCATTTTGATAGTGTTAATTATATTTTCCTGTTGGCTAGATATTGCTGCAATAATGTTCGCTAATTTATTTTTGCATTATTTTTGACAGAATGTTTGCTATGATTCTATATAGAATGTTTGCTTCATTTTGTTGATATACTCTGAACTACTTGAATTATATCAAAGAAGAGAACACACATTATATTGTTATTGATGACATAACTTTCCCTTACTGACGAATCATTCAGCACTTCCAGTTTTATAAGCGGATTAAACAATCAAAGATGACTGTAGGACACACACATGTGATTGCGCCTATTCCGTCTTTGCGTATTGCAGAGTTCTCTTCTCTTGGGAGCAGGTATTGATTGTTACGTCATTGGTTTGGGCGAGAAAATTACGTCGTTTTCTCAAAAATTGATGACGTTACTCTCACAAACAAGTGACGTAACAATCAATACCTGCTCCCGAGAGAAGATAACTCTGCAATACGCAAAGACGAAATAACATTGGTAACGATTACAGGAAACACTTTACTACACTGCATTACATTGTTGTTATGTCCTTCTATTACTCACCAGTGATGCTTCTAATTCAAAAATGATGGGATTACAGGTTAAATTGAAATTAAACATTTGTAAATTGTGTATATTATGAAAAGCGTGTGGCTATGGCTATCAATGATTACGATTGTAGCTATAATGAACAGTATTCATCACGAAATCATTCATTTCGTGATTTAATATGGCAAGTACAACATTCCATACAATGTCACTCTGGGTTCACACGAAGATCAAAAACATACTTAATATTAATACGGTGTATTACTTAACCGCTATATAGTTTTATGCTTCTAAATATTCAAAACTATTAAAACGCATAAATAGGGCATTACATAAATATGTTGTGCCATTATAAAGAACACCTTAATATATTTAATTTCATTAGATACTCACAGCACTCCCTTTCGTCTGATTGGTCAGGACAGTTTTTGTGGAAGTCACATCTCTCCTCTTCGCCGACACAGTTACCGTCCAGACAAGAGAATTCCGAAGTGAGACACTTCTCTGGAAAATAATATTTTAAACTAAATAGGCAGGTAAACCGATGGATTAGTATCTGTCACATCGTCATTTATCTTTTGGAATTACTTTTATTTTATCTTAAACCTTCGTTGTATTTCTTAGTGAAACAATGACGAAAAAATAAAATCGCCAGGACAATTCCTGACGTCATAGTCTATACTAAACACAAAAGTACATGGCGAATAAGACCGTGTGTTTAGGGAGGCAATCATCTTCTCCTTCATCGACAGCACCAAACCGCAACAAAAACTTGTAGAATTATTCCTTCTTCTCTGCCTTACCACAGATTGTTTCGTCTGAGCGGTCAGGACAATCCACTTCTCCGTCACACAGCCACTCCGCCATTATGCACGTGCCATCGTTGCAGACGTGCTGCCCCTTCGGACATTCTGTAAAAATGATAAAGGTCAATTAAAAAGAATAGTCACAAAATCTAAATGTTAAATAAAGATTTCAAAAGCCCATCAAGTTAAATATATATATCGAAGATCAATTTGATTTGAGATTTTTTAATAAAAAGACGACCAGTGGATGTAAACAGACAATAGAATCTAACTCTACATGCATGCTGAACAAAATAAATTATACTAAAAATAGTGGGTCTATAATACATATATGGTCGACCTAAGATACATCACTGTTAGTTGCATGTATACATATTTTAAGAACATATAATTACTTACGACAGTTCTGTTCGTCACTGCCATCAGGACAATGCTTGACACCATCACATCTCTCGTAGGACTCTATACACATCCCCATGGTACACTGGTATTCAAACTCTACGTCACAACCTCATAAAAACAAGTGTCAAGTTTAGCATTGAATAAAGCATTCACGGTTTCATAATCTCCCACCGGTACAGTGTAGTTTTTACCTTATTATAATCTCCCATCGGCACTCAACAACAAAAGTGTAGCATTTACCTATCATAGATATATGTACATGTACCCCCACAAAAGTAAAAGTGTATCATTTCCCTAATCATAATCTGCCATATGTATATGTACATGTACCCCCACAACAGTAAAAGTATCTACAATAGGTAGAACTAATGTTGGCGGGGGAATGCCCAATCAGCGGTAATAGCTTGGGAATAGGAACAAATGACAAAGTAGGTCAGTGGTCAGTTTCACTGAAACATAATGCAGTACAAGTGTATTGTCTTCTTACTACAGTTGTATTAGCCTTACTGAAGATGTTTACCTGTTTATCTGAATGTTTTATTTTCTGTTTGTTGTCTATACTAGTCATAATGTTCTTTCAAGTGTAGTTTTGCATATTCATATCTGTTGTTCCTAAAGACCACATTATTATATACTTCTATCTATTTCTGGGCATGCAATATCCTAGTTATTTTATGTATATTTCTAAGCAATGTCATTGTTTTCGTCCAAACAAGACACGGCATACTTACTACATTTACTCTCGTCCGACCAGCCGATACAGTCGACCTGACGATCACAGACGGAAGATTCTGGGATACACTTAGACTCGGCGTGACAGGAGGCCCAACCAGCAGCACAACCTTTATGGGATACAAAAAACATGTATAACAAACAAAAACACTGACAAATCAGTAAGGGGTCCTGCAATGTGCCTGACTGTAACACCCCCACTCACCACCGTGGTCTATTTTTGGTAATAGTAACTTTGGCATTGACCCCAAAAACTATCTTAATTCCTATTGCATAGCTACATATCACAGTCGGAATTAAAACTATTACTGATTTCACAACATCAGGGGATAGTTTGAATATATGTAAGGTTTTGTTGAAATCGGTGCAAAAATTTAGGAGGAATTGCCCGGAAAAGATTTTGCGGACCACAGACATCCAGACAGACTGGGTAATTCCAGTATACTCCCAAAGTTCGTTGCTAGAGGTATAATTATCTCCAATACTATTATACGATATAACCGATACAACATGCATAATTTTAAAGAGTCATTTAGATATAAAATCTACATTTCATCTTAACAAACTGTGTTGACAGAGACTGTGTTGACAGATAAATCGAATAACAGCTCAGCCTATGTAAAATCTGTGTCCAAAACGTGAATTTACTATGAAATAAAAACTATAGGTCATATAATCAACAAGGGAGATAATTAGTCTATGTAAACAAACAAAAGAACACAACACAGGAACTCTCTACACGTGCAATGAATTGCTCCAATCAATTAAACACATATGCACATAATGACCCTGTTCACACAACCAACGCACTTGACCTTAAATTCAAGTTAACAATAGGCAATTAAACTAAACGTCAATTAAATCCATACATAAGTATATATTATCTATTATAATGTTGATTTTAGTTACTGTCATTATATCTAAGAGACATGCTTTACAAATTTGATTAAGACAATGTAAATTTACCTGCTCTTTTGAAAGTTGGAAGTATACAATTATCTTTCCCATTGTATTCAGGATAATCCTGGCACTGGAACGGGTATGGCAGGCTCTGTGAACATGCTTGGTTAATGGCTGAAATTATAACAGATCAAACTACATCACCAGCTAATCATGTCAGGCGAATCAAAGAGCTTTGATAGGACACATGGCAAATGTAATAAAAACAGAGTGTATTCAGTATTCAAAAAATATTGGTTCGCATGTAGTAACCTTTATGCTTGAATATGCATTAAACCATGGAAATATAATGTTACATTCAAATTGTCATATTTTTGCGCACAATCTTATGCAATAGCACCTCATGTGAAGATTAAGAGTTAGAACAATCGACATGACGTCACAGTATCATACAGATGTCGCATTACGCCCATAGATATTTCATCACAATTGTAAAACGGAAGAGTTGATGGTAACTTCAGAACACATTTTTCTGGAATTATGAACACATTTTTATAAAATCTAACTACCGACAAGACAATGAGTATCACAAATTCTTCATGAAACTCGTCCCAAAACTCTCTTTTTGTTCTCTGGCCAGAAAAGCGTCACAAAATCGAAAAATTTAATACTCGTTATATTATTCATGTATGAAATGAAAAATAAGTTAATATCCTTTTTGTATGTTCTTACCTTCACAGAAATGTCGACAGGGGAGATAACTGGCACCTCGATCACATGTCGGAAACAGGTGAGAACAGACAAACCGTCCAATATCAGAGGAACAATTGCTGTTAAATGTTGCCTCGAAATCTCTACGATAAGTCGCTATGGCAGTGTTCTGATTTTCCTCCAGAAAAACGTTGGGAAATCGTGTCTCGTTAAATCCCTGAATCTTGCAGGCGTTAAGTTGAACTGGATCGCATGATTCTGTTCAGAACATAAGTTTAAAATATCTTTACAAAAAATATCTGTGATTTGAACACTAATAAATTTACAACGATTTCAGAAATTAGATTCGAGACTTAAGAATTTTTTGTTACGTGTCGTGGATTATTGCGATATGATTACTCAGTAAGGTGTTTTACACAATAATTTGTCTGGATATCAATGAACAAGCTCTCCGTTTGTCACAACTGCATACGTCTCGAAATTAAATTAGCTACCTGTTGAATGGATATGTTTGTAGCTTGAAAAGAAATATATATATAACAAGAAAGAATTAAATGTTCATGTGACGTAAGTAAATATAGAAAAAAATAAAATCTAACTACCGACAACAATAAATGCTTTCACCCTTCACAGGGTTTTTCAGTTTTGAAAAGTGATATCCACAAACATGAGGAGCCCTATGAAGGGTGAAAGTAGCTTGTTTTTTAGTCGGTCGATAGATCTTGTTTTTTCTTTATAATATATATATATACATACGTTGAGCAATTGTTGTTGTGGATGTGGATATCGTCGTTGAAGTTGTGGACTGAGAGGACAGAGGAGGAACACAATTTTCAGTTGGCAATGCCCGACATAAATCCGGGGTTACCACAGGAAAGCTGGTCCCACAGTCAGCCACGGCGGCTGTGTAATTAAGACAATATAGTACACTTTGAAGTTTCTTAATACCGTAAAATTCAGACGTATGATATACAGGTATACATTACAACGTAATTCGAAGTGACACACTGTTATATATACCACTAGGATCAAGCTTTAAGGTAAGATTTTAATCTGTCATATTTTTCTAATGCAAAATCTGGAACACAAAAAAATCCAGGAATTCAAAATAATTGTCCTCAAATAAAAACACATATATACTATTACTTCTGTCCATATATCTTGTTCAGTTGGAGCACTCAAATATACCATTTCCTTACCTTCGCAGAGACTTCTACATGGATATACAGGAAGTCCCTGGTCACATTTAAAGAACAAAGTCGCACAGAGTTCCTGGCGTGCGTTATCGGAGCAGGCTAATGGCAGGTACGTCTGAAATACGGTGATGGCGGTATCTTGGTCGGTTTGTTGGAACAGATTTGGAAACACTGTTGCATTATGTCCCATGGCAACGCATTCAGGTACGCGTACGGCCTCACATAAATCTAAAGAACAGAAAAAACAGGTCATCAATTTTGAATAGCTAATTTGTTGATAAATGATTTAGTTAAGTGATACAAAAAACTGTCAACCGATTATATTGGAGTGTTTGAAACCTATGAATATAAACGCACAATAAAAATGGCAATTTTCGCTGTGTGGAAATGATCGCATTATCCGTATCTATTTATAACTTATATGGATTATAGCTATATAGAAGCATTTAGATTTCAGAACCCTTGTCGATGCCAAAAAGTTTACACTGCAATCAGTAAAAGAATCATACCGCGAACATTACCCCCTTAACAGTTTATCCTTCACAAGGTCCATTTATATGCAGAACAGTTATGCAATTCAACAAAAAGTAACTATCAGAACGCACTGTTCATTACAGGTTCCTTAAGTTTTATTGAACAACATGTAATATGTTGAGAGAATCATGATATTAGATTGGAAACACTCGTTTTAGGGTGTTGATTCGTCAAAATTTAAAACCTACTCTCTACCTTTATTATTTTGTCAGAAAACATTAAACAGGATTGGTACAACTCAATAAGTACCTGGAGCAGCTGTTGCTGTGGATGTAGATATAAAAGTCGAAGTTGTGGACTGAGAGGACAGAGGAGGAACACAATTTTCAGTTGGCAATGCCTGACATAAATCCGGGGTTACCACAGGAAAGCTGTCCCCACAGTCAGCCACAGCCGCTGTGTAATTAAGACAATATTGTACACTTTAAAGTTTCTTAATACCGTAAAATTCAGACGTATGATATACAGGTATACATTACAACGTAATTCGAAGTGACACACTGTTTTATATACCACTAGGATCAAGCCTCAAGTTAAAATTTTAATCTGTAATATTTTTCTATTGCCAAATCTGGAACACAAAACAAAATCCAGGAATTCCAAATAATTGTCCTGAAATAAAAACACCTATATACTATTACTTCTGTCCATATTCCTAAACAAAATTTAAATAAATCGGAAAGGTTTTAATGTTTGATACACCTAAATCTCTCATTCAGACATCTTGTTCATTCGGAGCTCTCAAAGAACTCACTTTAAGGTAAATTTTGATTTGCATTGTATTGTAGTCAAACATATACCATTTCCTTACCTTCGCAGATACTTCTACATGGATATACAGGAAGTCCCTGGTCACATTTAAAGAACAAAGTCGCACAGAGTACATGGCGTGCGTTATCGGAGCAGGCTAATGGCAGGTACGTCTGAAATACGGTGATGGCGGTATCTTGGTCGGTTTGTTGGAACAGATTTGGAAACACTGTTGCATTATGTCCCATGGCAACGCATTCAGGTACGCGCACGTCTTCACACAAATCTGAAACAAGTATATTCTATATCAGTAATTGTTCATGTAATTGATAGTGCAGGGGCTTGTAATACAATAAGTACAATAACAGTTGAAAAGGACAATAGCTCACCACCTTGTACAGAAGAAAGTTAACAACTATTCACATTTCTCAAAATATATGATTAAAACAAATACGAAATTAACGAGTATATTTATTTTTAATGTGGGTGGATTTTAGGGTCTGCTACAGTTATAAGTACATTAGAACACTTTTACTGAGTCAGAGTTACGACATCAAAGCTTGGAGCCTGACGTCACACCAAAACCCCTCTAGAAATGTTTTGATGTGATAGTTTGGTAAACGGGTAGTTAGAATAACATTACCAACAGAAAAATATACAAGTATCTAGAATATGTTTTTATAGACAGGCTGACCTATTGTTATAATTGGTATATACATGTGACCACTCTGTAAAGATGACACAAGAAATGCATTTTTGTCAAAAACTTGCCGTGTTAATAATACTTTATAACGTTTATGAATGTTTTGCCATACTTGGTTTTCGTCAAGTTGTCCAAACTGTGATATGCTAACAACTTTAGTGAAAATGAGTCGTCTTCATACATATATGTCAAACTATATAAACGGCCTATTTAATGTTTTCGGCATTTTTAAAAGACAAAGTATGGCACTACCGAATAAGCAAATGTTAACAAAAAAAACTTATCTGAGTTATAATTGTACCAATCAGGAACTAGGATACTAGGATATCAGCGTCCGTTCATATTTTTAAAGTAATTCGTTTCATAAAGGCTAAAATGATTATGTTTCCACAGTCATTGATATTCTTTGAAAACACAAACTTGATTTTTTAAGGAGTAAGGAAACATCTTCTTTATTTGTTTGTTTGTTTGGGTTTTACGTCCAATTAACAAATATGGCCATTTAAGGACGTGCCAGGTTTCGGTGGAGGAAGAGAGCCGGAGTTCCCGTAAAAAATCCACCGACGTACGCTCAGTGCCTGGCGACTGCCCCACGTAGGTCTCGGACACGCGACCCAGTGGTGGAGGAGTAGAGGTAGCAGAATCACAGATGCCTTAACCACTTGGCCACCGATTCAACCGTTCTGTGACGTTAAGTAACTAGAAACATTTTAAGTCATTTGACAACTTGAATAATAGTATGTTACAAGAGAAAATTTAAAAAAAAAGTGTACCTGGAGTTTCTGTAGTTAAAATGACGGTAGTTGTACTTTTCGTAGTTGTACTTGTAGGAGTTGTACTTTTTGTAGTTGTACTTGTAGGAACTGTACTTTTTGTAGTTGTACTTGTAGGGACTGTACTTACTGGAACTGTGCTTTTTGTAGTTGTACTTGTAGGAACTGTGCTTTTTGTAGTTGTACTTGTAGGAACTGTACTTTTTGGAGTTGTACTTGTAGGAACTGTGCTTTTTGTAGATGTACATGCTGGAACTGAGCTTTTTGTAGTTGTACTTGTAGTAGTTGTACTTTTTGTAGTTGTACTTGTAGGAACTGTACTTGCTGGTGCTGTTACAGTTGTAGTTGTACTTGTAGGAACTATGCTTTTTGTAGTTGAACTTGCTGGAACTGTACTTTTTGTAGTTGTACTTGTAGGAACTGTGCTTTTTGTAGTTGTACTTGCTGGAACTGTGCTTTTTGTAGTTGTACTTGTAGGAACTGTACTTGTTGTAGTTGTACTTGTAGGAGTTGTACTTTTTGTAGTTGTACTTGTAGGAACTGTACTTTTGGTAGTTGTACTTGTAGGAACTGTACTTGCTGGAACTGTGCTTTTTGTAGTTGTACTTGTAGGAACTATGCTTTTTGTAGTTGAACTTGCTGGAACTGTACTTTTTGTAGTTGTACTTGTAGGAACTGTGCTTTTTGTAGTTGTACTTGCTGGAGCTGTGCTTTTTGTAGTTGTACTTGTAGGAACTGTACTTGTAGGAACTGTGCTTTTTGTAGTTGTACTTGCTGGAACTGTACTTTTTGTAGTTGTACTAGTTGGAGTTGTATTTGGAGGTGTTGTGCTTGAATGTGTTGTACTTTCTACAGTTTTTGTCGTTAAGGTAGATACTGTAGTTCCGTCAGTTGTTGTCGACGTATGTTCTACAATTAAAAAGTAAAACATTTTACTTAATTGAATTTTTAAAATGTATAGTTTTTAACTATAGCATGTATTACACTATGATGTTTAACATAAAAACACTTTTAGCTGGTTAATAAAACAAGAACAAATGAAGAAATAATTTTACTTAACCAAACGTACCATTTCACTTCAAAAACATATAATACATTATTTTTTATTTTTTTATGATAACAATAATTCCGAAATATTAAGGGTTTGTTACTCAAGTAAACGTTAAGAGACAAAAGTCCGGGCTCACCTCTAATCCTCAGTATGACGGTGGCTGGATTGAGGTTAAGGGTCGTCGTGCCCTCAAACTTTGCGGTTTTAATTATATACTCGGTCATGGCCGGTAGGACTACCTCGCCTGGGAGTTCCGTGGATTCTCGGAAGTCCATATTAAAATATACACGTATACTGCCGCGACTAAAACATACAAAATACGATAGAAAAATAAGCTTACGCTTACTGTTTATCTATTATTGCATTTTATATGTAACAGAGGGCATTTGCGTTCAATGCCTACGCTAGGAGTCGAACCCGGGACCTCTGGTTTACTAGTTGACGCTCTACCGAATGAACTAAAGAAATATTATCCCTAGCCGAGTCGGTAGGAAGCGGCTAGTATTTTACCAGGGTGACATACTCCCCTTCCAGGAAAGAACTCGTCAAGAGTTTTCAATGGGTCATAGCAATTCCTGTGAAAGTATCGCGGCTAGTAAATTACCAGGGTGACATATTTACACATACTAAACCAAGCATCCTAATACATGTTAAACCTTTCCATACAGCATATGCAGAATTTTAATAAATTTCAATGATTACAGAACATATCATCACAATAGCATCAACCTTAAACGCATTATATAATACATACCTTAGTCTGAGTACGCGTACTGACATATAGGACGTAGAGAGGTTACTATTTAACATAATTTCATCCATCTGTAATAGCAAACAAAAACATATTAAATGGGCATCAAGAGGTTCTCGGTAAAGCGTTTACGAATACAAACGTCATACAGGTCACAGATCGTAAAAATGGCCACAATACCTTCATAAAGTGCCAAAAAAACTGGGCACAAAACCATCAAAGTGGCCATAGTACCCTCATATTGAACATAAAACAGTAAAACAGGTCACAGACCGTCAAAATTTGCCACACTAACCTCATTCAGCACCAAAAAAAACATTTATACTGGGCACAACACCGTCAAAATGGCAACAATACTTTCATAAAATCTCATTAACTGGCAGCCATACTCTCATAATGAACACAAAACAGTCATACTGGGCACAAAACAGTCATACAGGGCACAAAACAGTCATACAGGGCACAAAACAGTCAAAATGGCAACCATGCCCTCATAAAGAACACAAAAGAGTCATTCAGGTCACAGATCGTCAAAATGGCCACCATACACTCATAAAGAACAGAAAACAATAAAAGTGTGCACAAAACAGTCTGTGTAGCAACAATACCGTAATAATGAACACAAAAAAGTTCATAGCAGGACAAAAACAGTCTTAGAAGACAAAAAGACTGACAGAGGGACTAAAACAATAATGGCCACAATACCATCATAGTTAACACAAAACTGTCATGTAGGACCAAAGTAATTAGGGTTAGTGGGCAAAAAACAAAAATTGGAGCAGAGATACTTGACACAAAACAGTCATAGTGGGACCAAAAGCGGTCTTTGTGGGCAAAACAAGACTGAGACTGAGACTAAGCCTTGTTACTGGACACAAAACAGTCAAAGTGGGACCAAATACTTATACTGGAACCAAACCAGCTGTACCAGACTGAAAAATGCCAGCTGGGATTAGATCAAAATAGCATATGTCAGGGAGATAATTTTAAGAAAACAAATCAATATTGTATTATTACTAGAATTGTTGAAACGAGAGAATTTTTACCTTATAAAATACTTCCAATTTTTGCAAGATTGTTACTAATGCTGTTAAAACGAGAGAGTATCATTTGATAAACTATCAATCTCTTTTGTCAATTGGATGAAATACTTACCTCCTTTGTTATATTGTCCCTAGTGTTGTTATAAAGAGACGATGTATTATCTGATAAAGCATCGTCCCACTCATCGTAAATTGTAAGTTCACCATCCAATAACCGCAGGTCTGAAATTCACAAGATCACCGATATGAAACGTTACAGATTGTCTAAACTTATTAACCCTTAGGTATCACAAGAGACATTGAAGAGAAAACATTTGTAGAGGATCAGAAGCACCAGAAATGCCCGATCCTCTATACAGAGGTCCACTACTGCCTCTTATTATCATTGAGTGTGATCCTGTAAGGTCGATTACAAGTGTCCAACTGTACGACTGAGTAAAACGATGTGGGGTACACTCGAGCCTCTCGGGAGACATTATAGGGATATGACTGCCAAATTGTATCCTTATGTTATTTGCAATTTTAACAATTTGTGAGACAAAATTACTTGTATAATATCTGTATATGACTACTATCAAGGTGAATAGGCACTGTTTACATTTTAAAGAAAGAGCTTTCCTTTAGTATGTAAGGCCATATACAATAAAATATTCTAAAAACTTTATCATAATGAATGTTTTCTATCGTAATACAATCCTTGTCTTAGTACTGGCATTGGCCAGTGTATCCCTTCTCACGTTTCCGCCTACAACACAGATACAAACATGCACGCGTACATCACACATGGAGGCACGTCCTTAAATGACCGTAGCTGTTGAAACGCTCACTTACGTTATCTACAGCCCTGGGATATGTCATAGCAAAATCGAAGGAGACGAGAAGACCAGTTTGATCCATTGATGTGCATCAAAAGAATCTGTCGATCGCGTAACGGTAAAATTGACTGTCTTTAAAGTCGGGTGTCGCTCCTCTGTAATCTTCAAAGGACAGGTATCGGCCTAGCGATTGGTCAGAGGACAGGTATCGGCCTAGCGATTGGTCAGAGGACAGGTATCGGCCTAGCGATTGGTCAGAGGACAGGTATCGGCCTAGCGAGTGGTCAGAGGACAGGTATCGGCCTAGCGAGTGTTCGGGTTTTATTAACTGAAACCAATCAAATAGCTAGTCACGTTACCTTCAATTTTTGCTATGACATATTCCATGCGTGCAGAGAGCGAAAGTGAACGTAACTCCTGGATATCGAGGATGTTCCGGTCACTTGATCTTAAAAAGTGATAAGCTAATGCTCCGAAATTGTACAGACAACTTTGTTTTAATAATTCTGAAAAACCGTCGCATTTAAAAATTGCAAAAACATCTCTGTGAAGACTGACCTGGTGGAGGAGTTGTGATGTGTGTGGTACTGGACTGTGTGGTGACCTCTACAGACGATTCTGTAAATAAACCATGGTTGATCGCGGGATTAAGTAGTAAAGGATTGCAGGACACGGTTACCTACTGTGTTACTAGAAAATTGATGTTTGTCCCTAAGAATTTTACTCCGAGAAAACTGTAAAATATCTGTCATGGTTGTTAATTTAAAGAAAAATTATTAATTGTTGACATAATTGGGAAGATACAGAAATACGAGCATTGAATGTATCGGTAGCCTCTTTACTACATCGTCGATACTACAGGGTTTACGTTCACGTTCGCTCTGTGCAAGTTAGCGTAACCCTTGCAGCATCGAGGATGCTTTACTAGGCCTCTGCTATTCTATTTTAATGTTAGAAATAGGTTGTAAGGGGGATAACTCTAACAAAGCAACCCTACTTAAATAATGATCCCTGTCCGACTGCACTGTGGGGGTTTTCTTATATATATATATATACAGTAACCTTTTCTTAAATTCAATTTGGATACATTTCCTTATTGGTTAGAGCATGAGTTTAACAATCTGACGTCCAGGGTTGGAATCCCGGTCTAGCCCCGCTACAGTATTACACTCAGAACACTGTTCTTGATTATAAATAGTCATGCTGGAAAAACAGTTTCCAACACTTATTTACACCTATTGGCGGTGGTACAGGGAATCTAAGTTCATGGCCATTTAGTCGATTTTCAATGAGGCGCTTGTCTGGTTAAGGAAATAAATAACTCATTATATTAGACATGTTGTTTTGCAATCAAGACTGTTTTACAAAACCATGTTCAAAATTATCCCGTGTCTGACAGTTAATTTCCATTTATACAAGGCTTCCTTACGACCGAGCATACTGCAGTGGCGGATCCAGAGGGTTTTTTTGGGCTTCAGGAAACTCCCCACACTGATAATTTTCTTTAAAAATCATGTATTTTCACCATTTTCCTCAATTTTCCCCCACATGGAAACCCCCCCAGGAAATTTGGAAACCCACCCCCCCC